GTGCTACAACTCCTACAATATCTGGTTGTTGTACCTTCAGTAGTATTTCAAACTCCTCTCTTTTATCAAGGAACGTGTCAGTATAAGTGTACATTATCTTCAAGCCAGAATTTGTTCTCGGTAACGTCTCTGCTCTTAGTATTAACCCCCCGCCATTCTCAGAAGCTGCATTATTTGCTAACTACACTATTTTGCAGGGTGTGGTTAGAAATGTCAATGTTTACATAGTGCTTGCCTCCTGTCTGGTAGGCGGAGCTGGTGCCACCTCCTGATTGGGGGGTAGAGTGGGTGTCGGGTGCCTTGCTGCCCCCTGGCTCTGTGTTGGCACACTTGCTTCCACTATCCTCCCCCTGAATATAACCCATGTACATCCGTCCCTGTTCCTCTTTGACTCCTCCCTCTTCTGCTTCAAGTCCTGCAGGAGGTACTTGTGCTGTTCCCTTTGCATTACAGTGTGATATGGGTGAATGAATACCCTCCAAAATGCCTCACTCCTTGCTAAGTTTTTTGCCTGCCGAATAACCTACCATTTCTCCTCCTCACTCACTAGTGTGATCCTGAGGGGGTGAGGCTGATCCCCCTGCTTTTGTCCCAGCCTCCTCACATCCTGAGGGGTTGATGGAATCTTCAGAACCTCTGTACAAATATTCTTAAACTGCATCGTATTGTCTGTTACCTTACTCTCAGTTCCCTCTGCGTGGCTCTTGGGGACTCCAAAAACTATTTCATTGTTTCTGCACGGGAAACGTTCCCATTGTTCCTCCTCTCCCCTATTAGTAGGTCCGTTAATTTTAATTTCTTCGACACACTTCTTCAGAGTCCCTAGCTGCTGTAGAACCTGTTGTGATCCTGCCACCTCCCGTGGCCCTGCTAATGCCTCAGCATATCTCCTCTTAGCAACCACCTCCATTCTATCGGCTACTTCCTCAGTCTTAGCAAGGATCTCTTTCCCAATTTGCTCTAATTTGGCAACCAGAAGGCTCCAGCTTCATCTATTTTCGTCCCTAGGGAACTCATTCCCCTATTGCTTGCAATTGCATCTTTCACCTTGACTATGCAGTCAGGGCAATACCAGCAACAGCCTTCATGCTTTACGGCAGTTAGCATCTTCCTAAACACTGCATTGGTCAGGCCTGTATCATCCATATCCGTCATCCCCCCGCAGTAGTCACATATCATCATATCCTCATGTTTGTTGTGAAATATAGATCTACAATTATTTAAAATAAAGAGAAAAAAACCCAGTTCTTTCTGTTTAATATACCATATTATAGTAAGTTCTTTCTGTTTAATATACCATATTATAGTAATTTCTTTGTTTAATATACCATATAGTAAGTTCTTTCTGTTTAATATACCATATTATAGTAAGTTCTTTCTGTTTAATATACCATATTATAGTAAGTTCCTTCTGTTCAATATACCATATTATAGTAAGTTCTTTCTGTTTAAAATACCATATCATAGTAAGTTCCTTGTTCAATATACAGTCGGCCCTTAACATTCGCGGGGGTTAGGTAACACAGATCCCCGTGAATGTTAAAAATCCGTGTACTATTGCCCCCCCTAAAAAATGCCTGGCCCCCCATGTCCTTATTTACCGTATATACCTGTGTGTAGCTCGAGTTTTTAAGGCCAAATTATTTGGCAAAAATTGGGGGTCGACCTCTAAACGGGTAATAGTTTCGTTAGGTTGAAAAATATTTACCAGTAACTACCAGTAAACAATGGAAACAATGCACCAACACACCACCAGCTGTGAGTGTCGGTACAGTTGCCAGGGCAGATCTCTTGCGTCACCATAGCAAGCCCAAAGTAGCCAAATGCATGGTATGGTATGTACAGGATGATGTAAAACAAAGTACATGTATTCATTTTTTAAAGTTTATTTATAGATACTGTACATAAATTTTTGTTCATTACATTTGAAACATCAATCTTTGTTAATTAAATTGGAAACAAAAGAAAACTACGATACCGTATTTCATTAAAATATTACATCACAAGTATATTTTACCTTAACTGTGACTGAATAAATATAATCTCAGAAATAAATATGGAAATGTAATATTACAGTGGAAAGTGTGATATAATCATGACGAAAACAATGACTCGCTTTCTTTCGTTGATGAAAAGATTTTACCGTAATCGCTTTTCGAATGGTTTTCAGTTAAAAAACTGTTGTACGGTACTGTAGTACAATAATATTCTATCCTATCATTAGCCTCATAATCCCACAACTGAAAACCATTCGAAAAGCGATTACGGTAACATCTTTTGAATGAAAGAAAGCAAAAGTCATTGCTTTCGTCACAATTTTATCCCACTTTCCACTGTAATACTGCGTCATTTCAGCAAAAATATTACATTTCCATATTCTCAGAAATGAATAGTAGTTTTGTTGTAACGTTGTGCAGTATTTAATATTAAAATGCAAAAAGAGCTATAAAAACAATTAATACCGTACACCCGTAATGTACTGGCTGGCATCTCCACTCGTCCCTGCTCCCGCCAGTCACCACTCCTCCCAGCTCTATCCTTCCGCCTCCTCCACATCGTCACTACTGTTGTATTACAAAAATATTCTATCCTTATTCACTTGAATAAATACTACGATACCATATTTCTGAATATTTTCATTAAAATCCATCAAAATCATTTTCCTTGTCATCGTCTTAAGCACCAAACAGCTCCTCCCAGTCTTCTCCTTGAACAGGGCTATAGGGTACATGTTTTTCGAATCGTTTTCAGTTAAAAAAATGTTACATCACATGTATATTTTACCTAAACTGCGCCTGAATGAATATATTCTCAGAAATAAATAGTTTTGCTGAAACGTGATGTATTTCAATGTAAAATAGGATAAAATACATGACGAAAACAAAAGACTTTACCTAACCTTCCGATGTTCAAGAGATGTTACTGGGTTTTTTTAATAGTTTTCGGTTAAAATACTTTTATATTACAATGATATTTTATTCATACTGTGCTTGATATACTACATTCACGGAAATGTAATATTTTTGCTGAAATGACGTACTTTTTTTTTTTTGCTGGCTTTTGTGTATATGTGCGCATGCATGAGCGCCACAGCTGCACAGTGACAACAAACGCCCACGCAGTCGCCACTTTAAAATGAGCAATCAAACTGTGACAACGTATGTAATTTTGAATCCTACTCTTTCCATTTACAGAGTACTGTATAAGCCCATAATTATGGCTCCTAAAGTAGATAAACTTCGTTGTGTGAAGAGAAAGAAGAACACGTTGAAATTGAGTGACAAACTTGAAATAATTAAGAAACTAGAACGTGGTGTGAGCAATACTTTTCTAATGGAAACATACGACATTGGAAAGTCTACAATTTATGATATAAAAAAGGCAAAGAATAAAATTCTAGAATTCACAGATTTTTCTTTAAAACTGCTCGTTTTGATAAATGAAGCATGCTATATTTGCTAATGAATAAACTATCAAAATGTACCTGTTCATCTCTTCTTTATTCCTCCATAAATTTGAATTTTAAAAGTCCAGCCTGAGAATCCGGAAATCCGGACCGACCCAATCCCCAAGCAGTCCGGATTTTTGGATTGCTACTGTAGTAAGTTCTTTCTGTTTAATATACCATATTATAGTAAGTTCTTTCTGTTTAATATACCTTAATATAATAAGTTCTTTCTGTTTAATATACCATATAGTAAGTTCTTTCTGTTTAATATACCATATAGTAAGTTCTTTCTGTTTAATATACCATATTATTGTAAGTTCTTTCTGTTTAATATACCATATACAGTGGTCCCTCAGTTAACGAAATTTCGGTTAACGAATTACCTTCCATAAGAATCTTCATTTCGGTTAATGACAAAAATTCGGTTAATGAAATTCTTACGAAAATGTTTCGACATGCTTTGGCTTGCTCACCAGCTGGAAGATTAGTCCGCCAATACAGAAATCGGTTCTAGGGCTTACATTCGTTAAAAATGGAGTAAATATCAAGAACTATTCAATAATTTTCCAAGTTTTATATTAAAATTTTTAGTCATTTTAACACTTATTTAACATAATTACAGTACAGGGAACTAGTTTTTGGTGCGCCCATCAGCCACTTCACTCACCCACCAAGGCCTCAGTTTGCATCTCTGTTCAGTGGATGAAACATCTTGCTTGTGGGTCTCTTGAACACAGAGTATTTTTACGTTTTTACAGTACAATTATTGGTCATTCTGAAATTTATTTAACATATTGACAATATATAGTGCAGTGCTGTGTTGATTTAAAGAAAATAATCTTGAATTACACCTAGTGAACTTAAAATTTTATGGGTGAAATGATGGCATCAAGCATGGGGTGATTTCTTCCCCCCACTTCCTTCTCTTCTTCCTTCTCCTCCACCCCCACTTCTAATTCCCATCATCATCATCATCAACCAGGAGCCTTCTACATACACACCTCAAAGTAAGTGTACTTTTCTGCATTATTTTTTTTACTTTGTATGTAATTTTCGGTGAGCTGGAAGCAATTACCCAAAATCCCATTGAAACAATGGTTTCGGTTAACGAACGACCTTCTGGAATGAATTGTGTTCATTAACCGAGGGACCACTGTAGTAAGTTCTTTCTGTTTAATATACCATATTATCATAAGTTCTTTCGATTTAATATACATATGATAAGTTCTTTCTGTTTTACTGTGTAGGGGGTTTAGGTTTGTTTAAATAAGCCACATTTTTTTGCATTTTACTAGAAGCTGCAACAGTGTCCACTACAAAGAACAGTGAAATTGCGGTGTTTTGACAATCATTTTCTATGAAAAGTCAAGCGCAGGTCCTGTCATCAATAATTACCTTTATTACCTTTTTGATTAATTTCTACCTGAATATGACGTGAGGAGTGGGAAAAAGGTGAGAGAAAATGTGTTTGTGTGTGTAGGTAGAGAGAAATAACTATGCCCCCCAACCACAGCCACTCCAGCACGAATAAAAACACGTCGTTTATTTCCAGGTCGCGATAAACGTCCACCATCGCCCTGTCATCCGAGTTTGTTTCATTGGTCGAACAGGAGATTCCCAAAGGCTGTCAGTCTCTTCCCGGTTCTCACGCTAATCTGGAGAAACTCGCGGCTTATTGTGTCGAGAACTTTGCCAGGGTGAGTTGATGTGGGTTTGTTAAATGGGGGTCTCGCAGCTAACAGACCCTCGATATTATAGACTTTTAACTTTGCCAGGGTGAATTAATCTGTGTTTTGTTTGTTAAATGGGGGTCTCATAGCTAACAGACCATCTGTGGTAAAACCCAAGTTCCAAAAGATGAGACTTTATTTTACAAAAACCATCATTACCTGCAACAAAGAAAAAATATTTATATATACATAACCCATAAAACTCAATAACTTATCAGTTACAGGAAACATCACTAAAATGCTGGATAGACAGAGGCAAATGGCATAAAGAAACTTGCCCATAGTTTCACCCTGTCCGGGGATAGAACCTTGGACCATATGCTTGTGAGGCGAGCATGCTGACCATTACACCATCAAACTCAATAACTTATCAGTTACAGGAAACTTCACTAAAATGAAATGAAAATTAAAATGATACATGTATATACTGGTATATTTTATTTATGTGTGTACTGGTATATTTTATATAAGTACAGGTTGTACCTCTCTAGTCCGGCATTCTGTGGTCCGGAACGATTTTAGTTTGTCCAGTCGGTAGATAGGCAGCTTATACAGAGTACAGTAAAAGTCCAAAAATCCGGATGCCAGGAATCCGGACCACCCGAGAATCCGGACTTTTCGAAAACTCAAACTTTTTAAATTTAGCGGTCTTTTGTGGGTTACGTGAATGAATGGAGTTGCTTTAAAAAATTAATTTACATAATTCTAATAATATAAGTAATTGTAAATTACAGGTAGCTAATTTTGTTAGTTTGTAATTAGCTTGAACTGAAATGTAAAATTTGAGGAACTGTAAATCTTTTGTGTGTAGGTGTGCATGCGTGAATGCCACAGCTGCACAGCGACAACAAACGACCACGCAATCGCCACTTTAAAACAAGCAATCAAACTGTGACAACGTATGTAATTTTGAGTCCTACTCTTTCCATGTACAGAGTACAGGCCCATAATAATGGCCCCTAAAGTAGATAAACTTCAATGTGTGAAGAGAAAGAACACATTGAAATTCAGTGACAAACTTGAAATAATTAAGAAACTAGAACGTGGTGTGAGCAATGCTGTTCTAATGGAAACATACAACATTGGAAAGTCTACAATTTATGATATAAAAAAGGCAAAGAATAAAATTCTAGAATTCACAGCTTCTTCTGAGCCTTACATTAAAATTGCTGAAAGAAAAAGTTTACATTGGCCCAAATTAGAAAATCTTGATAGTGTTGCACGAATGGTTTTTGTTAAAACGATCAGAAGGTATGGCAATTTCTGGTCCGATACTTATTGCCAAAGCAAAGTCTTTTAAGGAGCAAATGAACATCGAATCAGAGTGCGCATTTAGTGATGGATGGCTTAGGAATTTCAAGACTCGTTATGGTATTAGACAGTTTGTTTACATTTTTGTCTAGTGTTGACTTTATATTTCTTTAAAACTGCTCATTTTGATAAATGAAGCATGCTTTATTTGCTAATGAATAAACTATCAAAATGTAACTGTTCATCTCTTCTTTATTCCTCCATAAATTTTAATTTTAAAAGTACTGCCTGAGAATCCGGAAAATCCGAAAATCCGAACCTACCCAATCCCCAAGCAGTCCGGATTTTTGGACTTCTACTGTACAACATTTAACCCTTCAATATATATGAGCAGTAAATAAGTGTTGCTTTCATATTCTTATGTAGAGTAATGACGATATGTTTTCACATGTGCGCACTTACATACGCGCAGTCTCACTTTTTTTTACCATTAATAGTTACCGGGTAGCTGCTTATATTGTTCCATTTATTAACATTAAATAACATTACAGGTACTTCAAACAACCATATTATTTTTTTCACATTAATTTTACTACAGCTAAAATCAGGGTCTTATTTTCTTCAGTTTTATATGTAGAACCAATCAGTCACTGGTTTCGTAAGCTTTAACATAAACAATGCCGGCAGCTGTCTCGTCTCCTCTTATATTCCACGTATTATTAATAAATTGTATTGTTAATTTTGCACACACATACATTAATTCAATAAAAACAAATTCAGAAACATGAATTAAAATATATATGAACAGTAAATAAGTGTTGCTTTCATATTCTTATGTAAAGTAATGACGATATGTTTTCACGTGTGCGCATGCGCACTTACATACGCGATCTCTCTTTTTTCTTTACCATTATCGTTAGCTACTTCTATTATTCCATTTATTAACATTAAATAACATTACTTAAAACAACCATATTAATTTTACTACAGCTACAACCAAGGTCTTATTTTCTTCAGTTTTATATGTAGAACAAGTCAGTCACTGGTTTTGTAATCAACGAAAACAATGCTGTCTCATTTCCTCGTGTTTTAATATTCTACGTATTATTAATGAATTGTATTGCTCATTTTGCACACATAAACATTAATTCAATAAAAAAGACATTCAGTAATGTAGGTTATGTATCTATGCTACTGTGCCAAGTAGCAACCTTGTAAATAAGCTACTGTGCCGAGTAGCATTTATATATATAATTACGTGACAACACTGCACGCGTTATGTGGCAACATTGCCCCGAGGCTGCCATATGGCAAGGCAGTCTCAGTCTGACTGAGTGAGCCGTGCATGGCACACGCTAGTCACCACTTGTATTTCTCCTATCCCTTAATAAACGGACTTCAGTGTTACCCGGTGTTTCCTTACCCATCACTGCATTCCTCAGGGAACATTTGTAACCATCATGGCGCAGTGACTAGGATCTGTGGACTTACAAGTGTGTGAACAATACCGATGGTTACATCTGCCGGCGATATGCGTGTCGACTCATAGTGTGTTGTGTTGTGTTGCGCTGTGTTTTGCCGCGATGTGCAGTGTTGGGCTGTCACAGTGCTTTTTAGTGACGGTGGCAGTGTTAGTGTCAGTGTATTAGTGTGTGTCTAGAGCTGAGAGTTGAGCATTGGCCTGTTTTTTGTGGTACCCACGGAACACGCAGGCGTACACCCTTCTCGTGTGACATCCCGGGAGACACTGACGGTCTCACCCCCGCCGCGTCTCTAGCCACCGGCATTAAGGCCACCACGAAGTGCATCTGCTGTCTCAGACACACACACACGCACGCACGCATCCTTGACCACCGAAGGGTCAAGACGTACCTGGCGCTCCTCTCGGAGCAGCCAGGTCAACTGTTAAGTTGGCCCATACCAACTCCCTCCCCTGAACCCTCCTCCCCACCGGAATATCAACAAGTTCACGCCAGAAGTTACTATTTCATTTAGGAAAGGAATGGAACCAGTGTTAAACAGAGGTGAACAGTGGTGAACAGTGCTTAAGTCAGTGAGAACAACTCAACAGTAACAGTAGCACCCAAGTTAACCTTCACACAGTGAGGTCCCAGGTACCCAGTGATAATGGCCCGTGAGACCCAACAACAGCGATGTGTTAATCCGTCTACGATAGGAAGGCCTGGGACCACACCTCACTCATATAACACCGTCTGTGAGGGAATTACTACACCACGTGAGGCCCCGCATAACACCATCTGTGAGGAACTACTGCATACGTGAGGCCCGCGCACCATCTGTGAGGAATTACTACACCCGTGATCCCTCATAACACCATCTGTGAGGAATTACTACACCACGTGAGGCCCCTCATAACACCATCTGTGAGGGAATTACTACACCACGTGAGGCCCCATAACACCATATGTGAGGGAATTACTCGCCCACGTGAGGCCCCTCATAACACCATCTGTGGGAACTACTACACCACGTGAGGCCCATAACACCATCTGTGGGGAATTACTACACCATGTGAGCCCCTCATAACACCATCTGTGAGGGAATTACTACACCACGTGAGGCCCCTCATAACACCATCTGTGAGGGAATTACTACACCACGTGAGGCCCCGCATAACACCATCTGTGAGGGAATTACTACACCACGTGAGGCCCCTCATAACACCATCTGTGAGGGAATTACTACACCACGTGAGGCCCCTCATAACACCATCTGAGATCGAACTACTACACCACGTGAGGTCCCTCCTAACACCATCTGGGAGGGAGTTACTACACTACGTGTTTGCTGTTCAACACCTACAATAATCTGAATGTTCACTGTATGTTCCTTTACCTTTCTCTAATGAAGGCTTTTGTTAAACCACCAATGTATGTAATAAGTCATTTATGTCCAATGTATATTTTCAGCCTTCGGGCTGCAGAACTTTTTCAATAAACCGTTAATTATTATTATGCACTCACTCACTCACGGACAGAACAGTGGACTCTATGCGTTATTTCTGCGCTGTTTATGTCATATATATGTGGTTCGAGCTATTGAGGCGCCACTTTATATACTAAACAGTGCAGTCCACGCACACACAAAGATGGGCGGTAAGAAGGGACAACGTCAAGATGGGAGACACGACTCCCCACCACCTTCCCCTCCACCGGGCGCAGACTCTCATCCTCCACCTCCAGCGACGGACATTACCACAATTCTGAGGTGGATGGATGACCGGGACGAGAGACGCAGAGAGATGGAACTTCAGAGGGAGGAGAGACGAAGAGAGGAGGAAAAGTTGCGTTTTGAGGCACTATTGGCGACCCTGGCGCTAACCCACCCTCCCTCACTCGCAGGTAGCGCGCATCAAGGCGCCAGTACACTCCCTCCTCCGCCACACCAGCGTCCTGCAGGCACTCTTGCTACCCCAACAGCTCCCAAGGCATCTGTTCAACCCCCACCCGTCCTCTCACCAGACGTCACGTTTCAGCTTTTTCGTGAGTGGAGGCGGTGTTGGACAGATTACTCCACGATGGTGGACTTTGACAGCATGCCTCCAAACAAACAGCTCATCCAACTGCGGATGTGTTTGTCGCTGGAGGCCCAGAGAGTTTTGGAGCCCATGTTGCAAGTGCCTCCCGATTCTACATCTTCAGTGACGGATGTGCTCGACCTTTTACAGGAGCACGTTAAAGGTCGGAATAACGAGGCTTTGCGTCGCCGCGCCTTCACCAGTTGCAAGCAGGTGGAGAACGAATCCTTTGACGACTTTTTTGTGCGTTTGAAGAGTTTGTCGGAGGAGATCGACGTCTGCAAGGCGCACAGCCGGGAATGTGAGGAAGCCTGGATCAAGCACGGGATCTTGGCAGGTGTCAGGCAGGAAGAGTTGGTGCAGCGACTCATCCCCCTGGACGCTTCCTCCACACTCCAGGTGGTAGTGACTGAATGTTGGCCATACGAGGCCACCGAGTCCTCCACCTCTGCCTTACGGGCCCCACCTGCTGTGAGAGCTATCTCACAATACAAGAAGGATAAGAAGGCGGGCAACAACGTGAAGGCTGCCGCACGTTCTTCCACGCCTCCGCCTAGTGCTTCCTGTGGCAGCTGTGGAAAGCAGCATGGCCACAAGACATGCCTGGCCGCCGACGCACTGTGTCGTGGATGTGACCGGAAGGGCCACTGGTCTAACACAGACAGGTGCCCTGCACGAGACCACAAGTGTCAGGCCTGCGGTCGCTATGGACACTACGACAAGGGCTGCCGCCAACCCAAGCCCAAAAGACCGAGACGAGGAGGAAAGCAGCGCACTTCCCTCGGGGTGGTTTGCACGCAGCCCCCTCCAGATGGCCCACGCAGTCCCAAGCAGCAGCGGAGTCACATCAGGAGGGTGGAATCGACCACACGCCCCAGGGCTACCCCTTCCCCCACCATCCGCGTCGCCGTCACACACGGTGATGTGTCGGGTCACATCGAGGTGATACCGGACACCGGCGCTGATACTACGGTGATTGGGTTGAAGCACCTCCAGAAACTGGGCCTCACCAAACGCGACCTGGGACCACCGCCGCAGCTGCAGTGGTACAATGCGGACGGTTCCCAGACGCTGTGGGCTCCTTTCAAGCAGAGATCACCTACGGTGACAGGTCGTGTCATGGATGGATCGACATGCAGCCTACTCTCGCTACACCCTTGTTGTCGTGGGAGCACTGCAAGGAGTTAGGCGTGGTGCTCAGAGACTTTCCCGAGAAGATCCCAGCTGCTCGGTACACCGCCAGCAGGGTGCGTGAGTTAACGAGCGACGTGCCTGGCGCTGCCGCACAGAGTTGCCCAGAACCCGCGTCCACTCCCACCCACACAGGACGCTCCCCTGCCCAGATCCTGTATGGTCACCCTCTCCGCTCTTGCGTTCCTGCACACGCCAAGGCTTTTGCGAAGAAGTGGCAGACCAGAGCCGAGAGCTGCGACCGCCGCGCCGCTACACGTGCCCAGGACGCCAAGGCTCGGTATGACGACCGTGCCCGCCCTCTTCAGCCATTGGAGATTGGTGCCCTTGTCCACGTCCAGGACCCGACGACGACACGTTGGGACAAGGTGGGCATAGTGATGGGCGTCGGCCAGTCGCGGGACTACAAGGTCAGGATGCCGAACGGCCGTGTCTGGTGGAGGAACCGCCGCTTCCTCCGGCCAGTCCCACCCCCTGCTGCTGGCCCCCTGACCGAGGACGAGTCACCTACACCTCACGAGGATCCGCCCCACAGTGCACCTCGACGCTCGGAGCGACTTAGGACTAAGAAGTCCGCTCAAGACAAAGACTATGAGCGTGAGGGGGGGAGGGAGATGTAGGTTATGTATCTATGCTACTGTGCCAAGTAGCTACCTTGTAAATAAGCTACTGTGCCGAGTAGCATTTATATATATAATTACGTGGCAACACTGCAAGCGTTATGTGGCAACATTGCCCCGAGGCTGTCATATGGCAAGGCAGTCTCAGTCTGACTGCGTGAGCCGTGCATGGCACACGCTAGTCACCACTTGTATTTCTCCTATCCCTTAATAAACGGACTTCAGTGTTACCCGGTGTTTCCCTACCCATCACTGCATTCCTCAGGGAACACTTGTAACCATCAAGTAATATACAATAATGAATCTTTTGTACATAAGAGAAATGACGCTGTTTACACGATAACGCACGTCGTCTGCACATTGGTGGGCCGTTCAAACCCGTCGAAATTCAAGTTTCCGCCGTCAAAATTTTTATTTATTTATTTTTTTGTGTGTTCCAATAAAATACGTTAAGAATTAAAATCTCGCGAAATTTGAGAAGCTACTACACGACATTTAACCCTTCAATATGTCTTCAAAGAGACCATGATGCAGAGAAAGTGGTGCTAGTGCTTCCAAGCATAAGCACAGGTCACTATCTATCCAGGAAAAGGGTGAATTTCCATGGTCCGGCACCGGTCAGGTCCCGAGGTTGCTGGACTAGAGAGGTACAACCTGTATATGCTGGTATATTTTATTTGTGTATACTGGTATATTTTATATATGTATATACTGTACTGGCATATTTTATTTATGTGTATACTGGTATATTTTATATATGTATATACTGGTATATTTTATATACTGTATGTATATGCTGGTATATTTTGTATATGTATACACTGGTATGTTTTATATGCAGCTCCTCCCCGACTTACGACCTACGACCACCAGCACTTACGACCTGTCTCAGTCTGTAACGACCATCCGCACATACGACCGATGCAGTCGGTACCAAAAAATTTTTTTTAAATGACGCGCCCATTTTTTATACCGAAATGTTTCCGCCCCGTACGAGAGCATCGCGTGGCTTGGGTTGCCGCGTGGCTACAGCACCCACGCCGTAGAGCCCTTAGTTAGTGTTTGGCTGTCGTTGTAACTGCAACTGATCGCTCTGTGTACTGACATTATTTTCGTATTTAATTGACTTTAGAATGACTGGAAAGCATACAAGTGAGAGTGCTGGTAGTGTTCAGATGAAAAGGAGACAGTCAATTACTTTTGAGACGAAAATGAAGATAATAATGCAGTATGAAAATGGAAAAACTGTAGCAACAATTTCACGATTCCTAGGCTTCTTGCACTCGACCATATCTACTATTTTGAAAGACAAGGGACGTATTCGTGAGGTAGTGAAAGGATCAGCACCTATAAAGGGAACTATAATAGCGAAGAAAAGACAAGGTCCTATTCACGAGATGGAAAAATTACTTGTGATATGGGTGGAAGACCAGATACAAAAGCATGTACCCTTAAGCCTTCTAACCCTACAGGCTAAGGCAAGAAGCCTTTTCGAAAGCCTGAAGGAGTAGGCAGGAGATGAGTGCGACCTAACCTTCACAGCAAGTCATGGGTGGTTTAACAGATTTAAGAACTGCTACAGTTCACATAATGTTAAGGTGAGTGGAGAGGCAGCTAGTGCTGATGTTGTTGCTGCCGAAACTTTTAAGGAGGAGCTATATCGTGTCATCGTGGAATGAAATTATTTGCCTGAGCAAATATTCAATGCGGATGAAACTGGATTATTATGAAAGTGCATGCCTGAACGGACATACATCCACAAAGAGGCGGAAACAATGCCAGGATTCAAGGCATTCAAGGACCGAATTACACTTCTGTTGGGGGGGAATGTAGCTGGTTTCAAGATAAAGCCCTTCATGATCTATCATTCAGAGAACCCCAGGGCTTTTAAACATGCCAGCAAGCACACACTGCCAGTGTTTTATCGCAGTAACAAGAAAGCCTGGATGACCCTAGTACTGTTTGAGGATTGGTTCATGAATTGTTTCATTACTCAAGCCAAGGAGTATTGTCTGCAACAAGGGATTGTATTCAAGATTTTGCTAATTTTGGATAATGCTCTGGGACACCCACCACACCTGAACGACATGCACCCTGCTGTTAAGGTAGTCTACATTCCACCTAACACTACCTCTGTCATCCAACCCATGGATCAAGGTGCTATTGCAGCTTTTAAAGCTAATTATTTATGGACGACCTTCGCTCAGGCTGTTGTATAAAGAACATTATTGCAGCATGGGATGAGGTTACAGAACAGTGCATGAATGGAATATGGAAGAAAGTCCTGAAAAGATATGTTGACAGTTTCAGAGGATTTAATGAAAATGAAGTAATTTCTGAGATTAGTAACAAGATAGTGGAGTTGGGTAAATAGCTTGAGTTAGAAATTGATAATGAAGACGTTGAATAGTTGGTTGAAAGTGTAGCAGAAGAGCTAAGTAACGAGGATCTTATCAAACTGGAAGCACAGAAAAATGCAGAGGAAGAAGAGTCTAAATGTAGAAGAACCTGCACCCCCAAAAATTTTTCAGTGAAGCAAATGGAAGCGGCATTTGCTACAATTAATATGGGGATGCAAATGTTTGACGGAATCGATCAAAATGTCGAGCATTTTGCCAAAGTTGACAGAATGGTCCAAGATGCACTTGCTTGCTACAGGGAGATTTATAATGAAAAGAAAAAGCAAACTGTGCAGTCTAAATTAGATATCTATTTTAAGAAGTCCCCCATTGCTGTCTCCTCACACCCCACCAGTGCTGCCTCTTCACTCCCTAAAGATGATCCAATACCTTCAACCAGCAAGTTTCCCCTGTACATAAACCTGTCTGAAGAAAGTGACATTGATGACCCACCCAGCCCTGTCTCCTCCTCTGCTTCATCCAATTAATATAGTCTCCATATATACCTGTAAATAGAAAATTATGGGGACCCTGTGTGCATTCAGCTGACTACATTAAAGGTAAGTGCACAGTAACACTGTATCCATTCTTCTTTATTGATTACTTTTACTGTACTGTATTTCATTTTAGATTTTATACATATTTTTTTTTTTTTTTGCATTTCCGACTTAGGACCATTCCGACTTACGACCTGGATTTGGGTCCCTAACCCCGTCGTAAGTCGGGGAGGAGCTGTATATGTATATGCTGGTATATTTTATATACTGTATGTGTACACTGGTATATTTTACACATGTATAAACTGGTATATTTTATATATGTACTGTATATCATTGCTAGAATATTCACTTAATAGTTGTAAATTAATGGTGTATCCTTCCTGTGCACTCCAGGCAGTCGTGAGGATTGAGTCTACTACCTGGTCATCATCTGTATTTTCTCAACAATAATATAACCTGCCAGACACTACCCCAGGCTGATAAGAACATAAGAAGAATTCAGTATAAGAAAATAAGGAGTGTGCAATAGGCTGGTTGGCCTGTGCATGGCAACTCCTGTCGAAAGTTAAAACCACTCTCTATCATCTATGAATTTATCTAGCTTTCTTTTAAAACTTTTCCAGCAACCCAGCACTTACTACAAAGTAGCTAAGTTTCTTCCTATCTCCCTTCTAAACCTAAACTTATCCGACTCAAATCGTTGCTTCTCGTCCTATCCTGCTCGGATATTATAAGAACTTTATCTATACAGTATCTCCTTTATTGATTCTTTTCACCCAGTTAAATACTTCTATCATATCTCACCGCACTCTTCGTCTTTCTAGGGAATGCTAGTTTAGTTTCTTTAATCTATCTTGATATGAAAGGTTTCTCGGTCCCGGAATCATTTTTGTCATTCTTCGCTACACCGACTCCAGTGAATTGATATCCATTCTAAAATAAGGGCACCAGAACTGAACAGCATAATCGAGGTGCGGCCTGACTAACGCAAGGTATAATTGCAATATGACCTCTGCACTCTTATTACTTACACTTCTAGATATAAAACCTAATACAGTAAAGCCCCCTGATAACAACTGTTCGATCAACAACTTTTCATATTTAAAACCCTAGTTAATTTAGGATCCAATTCAATTTACGTCCTTATTTCATTCGTATTTATGACCAAAATATAATAAAACTAAAATAGAATTACATTTTCATATAAATAATAACTAAATCCCGTTATGTATTACAAAAAAAAAATTACTGTAAAAAAATGAAGCTCGCCTTGTGCAAAGCTGCCTTGCTAATAAGTGGTAAACAACAGTTTTCACGCATCTGGAACAGGGAGGAAAATTTTCTCAAGTTTCTTACAGCATTTTTGCATCTGTATTCAACATGAGCAAGAGAGCAAGTGATGGTAGTGTTGGTTCAAAAGCTAATAGAAAGTGTATAAGCTTAGCTGAGAAACTAGATGTGTTAAAACGACATGAAAAAAGTGAGAGGTCTGTGGATATTATATGGAGCAAGCAATGAACATATTTTCTGAAGTGGATCCATTAACAGAACAAAGCATTAAAATTTAAATAAATGCAAATGACCTCTACATAAGGATGTACTGTATAATGAGAAAAGAAAGCAGCTGTGCAAGGTTCTTTCAAGAGCTTTATTATTCGAAGACCTAAACCATAAAATTCAGCATCATAAGCAGCTTCAACATCAACTTTAGGTTCAGTAACAGTTTCAGCAACAGCTTTATGGAAAACTATAGCTTTAGCCAGAGTTGAACCTGATGATTTCGTCATTTGAGTAAAAACTCCCACAATATTCATTGGCTGTCCTTATGTTTTAGACTTTACCACCATTGGTGAGTAGAATTTTTGTTTTACATTCGTAAATATTATTTAAAACATATATGAACATTAAATAAGTGTTGCTTTCATATTCATATGTAGAGAAATGATGATATGTTTTCATATATACGCACTTACAGGCATCCCCCACATTATGGAACCCTGGGTTGCGGAATTTCGCTCTTACGGAATTTGTAAATTATGACCATTAATTTCGCGATACGGCCCGTAAATCTTCCCTTACGGAAATTGGGGTAAATTAAAAAAAAAATGCTATATAAAATTGAAATTGTGTTAAAAATTATAATTTGTTTGGTGTGGATTTCTTGGTGTTTGTTACCACCAAGCGTGGCGTCGCCACGAGGAGTCAGTTCATTGTTTACATCCAGTGTGCGCGCATGTTTCTCGTCCCAGCAGTTTGATTTAACTTTTACAAACATACAGTAAGTACAGTACAGTGCATTACCCTTATTCAAGATGACTGGAAAGAGGCCATCAAGTGGAAGTGATCACAGTAGTGCAAAAAGAAGCCGCAAAGGCATTACATTGGATATTAAACTTGATGTTTTAAGAAGGTATATCATAAATTATTTAATGTACTGTATTGTATGTGTTTATAAATGTTTATTTTCATTCATAATAGTGCTTGAATTCCTTTTTTGGGGCCGAAAAAAATTCCTTAGGAATGCATCTCCAGTTTTATAATGGAAGTCAATGGGTAAATAGGTTTCGCGTTCCGGAATTTCGCAATACGATCAATTTTCCAGGGGTGCAACCCTTCCGTAACACGGGGGATGCCTGTACTGTTCATACATTGGCGTTCCCTATCGTCTCGCCTTATTTATATACCATTAGTGGTTAGCTACTTCTAGTGTTTCAGTTATTAACATTAAATAACATTATACTTAAAACAAACACACAGGTACTGTATTCAATTTTTAAAAATTAAGTTCACTACAGCTACAACCAGGGTTTTATTTTCTCAAGTTTCTTATGTAGAACCATCGTCACTCACGAAAACAATGCCGTCTTGTCTCCTCTTGTGTGTTTCAATATTCTACGTATTATTTATGAATTGCATTGTTCATTTCGCATATATGAACTGGAAGGGTACGGAATTCGGGGAAATGTCCTAGCGTGGATAGAAGACTTTCTACATGACCGCAAGCAATGTGTGGTGATTAATGGCACGAAATCGTCATCTGTACCTGTAACAAGTGGGGTACCGCAGGGTAGTGTATTGGGCCCGCTGTTGTTTGTTTGTTTCATAAATGATATGCCTGACGTTGTACACTCCTCCATACAAATGTTTGCCGATGACGCCAAGTTATTTCGGGAAATTAAGAACCAAGCGGACTGTGAAGAGCTGCAGAAGGACCTCTGTGGGCTCCAGGAATGGTCGAAGGAATGGCTGCTGAGATTCAATGTCACGAAGTGTAAGAGGATGCACCTGGGGCGTACCAACGGTAAGGAGGCGTACCATATGTCCCAACGGGATGAAGAAAATGTACTAGTTGAGACTGTGTGTGAGAAGGACCTAGGTGTGTATGTTGACAATGAGCTGAAGTTCTCGGGCCATTGTGAGAAGAAGGTAAATCAGGCAAATAAATTATTGGGTCTTATAAGAAGGTCGTTCAGATATCTAGACGGTCCGTCCCTCGTGACGATCTTCAGGAGTGAAGTGCTTCCCCATCTGGAGTACTGTCACCCCATCTGGTCCCCGAGATATGCTAGGGACTGTCAGTTGGTTGAAAATGTTCAAAGGAGGGCCACCAAACTGGTGCCTGCACTTCGGCATCTCAGCTACCCTGAGAGATTGGAGCGCCTGAACTTGCCTAGCTTATACTACAGACGGGCAAGGGGGGACCTAGTTGAGGTTTATAAGCATCTCAGGGGGCACTACTCAGTTGAGTGTCCTTACTTGGAGCTGGCGGACGCTCGCCCCACAAGGGGTCACAGCTCAAGATTGAAGAAGCCGCAAGTCCGGAAAACCGTGAGGGCAAACTTTTTCGGAGTGAGGGTTGTAAACTCTTGGAACAATCTACCAGAGAGTGTTGTGGCACCGAGTGTGAGCTCTTTCAAGAGAAGACTTGACCAACACTGGAGCGGGTTCAGGTACATTCAGGAGCCGGTGCATGCCCAGTATTTGCCAACAGTGCGTGACAGAGACGTGACCGATCGCCCGGGCGGCTAGCGAGCCGACCTTTTGGTGAAGAATATAAAGGAAAAGAGACGTGACCGATCGCCCAAGCGGCTAACAAGCCGATCAGTGGCGAAGAGGATAAAAGTAAAAGTAAATATTAATTCAGTCAAATACATATCGAGTAATAAACAATAATGAATCTTTTGTACATATTCTTAAGATAAATGACTTTCCTTGAGTGTGCACGTATACATTGGTGTTCCACTATCAGTCTCACCTTTTCTTTAATGTCAGTGGTTACGTCTCCTGTACGTTAAATAACATTAATTAAAACACATATTTTTTACATTACATTACAGTAATAAACAATAATGAGTCTTTTGTACATATTCTTAAAAAGATAAATGACGCGGTATCCTTAAATGCGCACGCACGTATATGTTGGCGTTCCCAATCGATCTCTTTTCTTTTCTTTGCCATTAGTGGTTAGATACTATTGTTCCATTTATTAACATTAAATAACATTACTTAAACTATATATATATTTTTTATACATTAATTTTACTATAGCTACAACCAGTGTCTTATTTTCTTCATTTTCTCGCGTAGAACTATCGTCCTGGACTCCCTGCTGTAAACACAAACGAAAACAATGGCATCCCATCTCCTCTTATGTGACCATATTATTATTCATTTATATTGTATAAGGTGCATTCAGAAACATTATATAAAGAAAATAGTTTGTAATTTTCATTAATTGTATTGTTTTGGGGGGAAAAGAGGGTAAAAAGCCACACAAAAGATATGAAAATGTCACACTTGGGAACGCATCTCATTATTATTGCTTTATTTTAATGATAATGATTTGCAATACGATGATTCACCTTACATTTTAATATTGGAGGACACATTAACGTCGTTATTTGAGGCTTTACTGTACTCTATTTGTCTTATTTCGAAAATTAACGGACTGTTTTCTAGGCCGAGGTCCGGGCTTACAAGTACCCCTAAGTCTCTTTCTCAAGTCGACTTCTCTAAGTTGATGTTGTTAAGGCTGTATACATCGACAGTACTGGGTATTTGTTTTTCCAATATTAAGTACGTTGCACTTGCTGGTGTTGAATTTCATTTGCCATTTTGCTGACCACTCCTGCAGTTTATTTAAATCCTCCTATAGTGCATTTGCTTCCTGCCCTGAATTAATCTGCCGCCCTATTTTAGTGTCATCCGCAACTTCATTATTTCACTGCTGATCCCAGTATCTAGATCGTTTATGTAGATTATGAAGAGTGCACCCAGTACTGACCCCTGGGGAACCCCACTAGTTACACAGCCCCACTCGGATTTAAAACCATCTACGCTGACCCTCTGTTTTCTATCGGTGAGCCATGATTTTATCCAATTTAAAACTTTCCACTCGATACCATGAGCCTTAACATTTCTCAGAAGCCTTTGACGCAGTACTCTGTCAAATGCTTTGCTAAAGTTTAAGTAAATAACTTCATAATTTTCCTCCTTATCTACTACCTCACAGACTTTCCTAAAAAACGTCAGCAGATTTGTAAGACAAGATTTTCCCTTTGTAAATCCCTGTTGAGTCGTAGATTAATTTGTTTTTCATAAAATGCGATTGGGTGCTATTTGCTATAATTGATTCAAGAAATTTCCCCACTACTGATGTCAAGCTAATCAGTCGGTAATTTGACGCTGATGCTCTGTCTCCCTTTGTGAGCATGGGTACTACATTTGCCTGTTTCCACAAGTCTAATGATTTTGTAAATAAATTTATGAGGGGTCCGCTAATCTGTTCCTTACACTCTTTCAAAACCCGAGGGAAAATTTCATCTGGCCCTGGGGATTTTGTCTTCTTTAATTTATTTATCTTCTTAAGAACATCCTCTTTTCTAATAGTGATATCCTTTAATTTCTCTTCTTCATTTCTCCTAAATACCAGTTCCACTTCTGGCATTTCCTCATGAATTTCTTGTGAAAACTGATAAGAAGTAGCTGTTTAATGCTTTGCTTATTCCTCACTATCATCGATCACTTCCCCTCTCTCTGACTTTAAAGGCCCACTTTGTTCTTGACCTTTGTCCTATATACCTGGAAAAATCCCTTGGGATTCTCCTTGGATTCTCTTGCTATCCTGATTTCGTAGTCCCTCTCTGCCTTCCTTACATTTTTCTTAACATTCGTAGATTGTTCATTATACCTAACTCTGAGATGCTTCTCCCTTCCCTTTAATTTCTTATAAATTCCCTTCATTATACCTATGTCATGTTTAAGTTTTTTGGTCATCCACCTTGGCTCATTCTTATTTGACCTAATTTTTCTGTATGGTATATATTGTTCCTGTGCTTTACATAGTATACTAGTGAATTTAGTACAGTACTTAGGTACCTTCTTAACTCTTCATAATCCGCCAATCGAAAGTCTGGGTCTCTGACCATATTGTCATTATTTTTCGTTTCCCAATTTAGGGTAAACCTGATTTCTCTGTGATCACTGTTCTCTAGTTCTCCCCCTATTGTGATATCTTTGATAATGTTTTCTTTATTTGTTAATACTAGGTCTAATATATTGTCACCTCTAGTAGGTTCTGTAATTAGTTCTTTTAAATAATTGTTCTGTACTGAGTCTAGGAAGTCTTCAGATTCATAGTCACCTATAATGTTGTCCCAGTCAATATTTCTGAAGTTGAAATCCCCCATAATGCACAAGTTGTTGTATCTTCCTGCCATATGGGCTGAGCTGCTTCTTTCCCAAGACCTGGGGGGCCCTGTAAATCACTCCCATAATTATTTTTTCTCTTCCTTCCGCAATTTATACCCATACAGACTCAGTTCCTATTTCACCCTTTATTGTATTATTAATACAACATTTTAATGTATACCTGATGAAGAGTGCAACCCCTCCCCCTTCCTACCTTTCCTGTCCTTGTGAAAAGGGTTGTACCCTTCTATGTGGTACTCTGATCAAAAGTGCTTGCTCGCCCGATTCATCCAAGTTTCCGTGATTGCTATGACGTCTACATTCTCGGTACATACAACCGCTCTTAGCAAATCTATTTTATTTCTAACGCTCCTACTGTTTGTATAGTATACATTTAAACCTACCCTTCCCTGGTCCTGTTTTACCCCTTGTCCTGAGTAATCAATTTTACTCCCCAGGACCTGCATGTTTTTTTTACTCCCACTTACCTTGACATCTTTCTACTGGCAAACACCCTTTGGAGTGACAATTTCATGCTCCAGGGATGCAGACAACGTCTTTACCCCCGCGCGAGACAATTGTACCCCGTCACGACTGTACAGGTAGTCGTTGCCATAGAATGGTCGCCAGTTATCAATGAATGCCCAACCATTGCTTGCCCTGGACAGTCATTCACCGCCTACTCCTCTTCTAGGCAAGACACCACATACTATCAGGATCCCTCCCTCCATCTCTAACCTTCCCTAGCACCTCCTTATACCTCCTGAGAAGTTCCTCACTCCTAACCTTTCTTATGTCGTTGCCTCCTACACTAAGACACCCTACTAGTTTGGTACCCTCCCTTGACAAAACCCTATCCATCCTCTCAGCAACATGCCCTATCCCAGCCCCAGGAAAACACACCCTAGTCCTACATTTCCTATCTCTTTCACAAGAAGTCCTATCTAAGAACCTCACCTGGCTGTCCACAACTACCACGACCTTACCACTGGGCAGGGTTTGACCAACTGCTCTTTTCTCTCCTGCCACCACACCACCCTGCCTCTTCTCTTCCTCGCCAGCTTCTTCCAACACTTGATAGAGGTTACTACAATCCACACCCTAGTCAGCTTTCTTGATTCTGATCTTAGTCCCTTTGTAGACAACCACTCTCCACTCCTGCTCCTCCTGACTCTCCTTCGTAGGTCAAGACACCCATCTGAAGGAGTTCAGTCCTGAGGGTATCATTCTCCCCCTTTAAAACGTCCATCTCTCTCCACAATTGCTCCAACTGACTTAACAGGGTGGCTGGGTTGGTCGTCTCTCCCCACACACCGTCCTTCTTCCCCCACAACACAGTGGCCCACGGCGGCCAATTTCTATGGTCACTAACACGAGCACACAGGGGCATGTCCTTCTCCAAGACTACCCCAGGCTGATATAACCTGCCACAGACTACCCCAGGCTGATATAACCTGCCACAGATTACCCCAGGTTGATATAACCTGCCACAGACTACCCCAGGCTGATATAACCTGCCACAGACTACCCCAGGCTCATATAACCTGCCACAGACTACCCCAGGCTCATATAACCTGCCACAGACTACCCCAGGCAGATATTACCTGCTACAGACTACCCCAGACTGATATAGCACACTGACCAACAAGTTCTGCAGAAAAAGGTGAGAATTTAGTCATGTGTGTACTGTAATTATGGTGTTGAGGGATAACATTTGTAATTTTATTCAAGTAAATATTCCATAAGAAGAGCTGTAGATCACTTAACTTAACCTCTTGAGTACAATTACCTTTGGCCTGACCCAACACCAGACACTGTAGTATGAGAGATCGCACCACTTCCCCACCTGTTACTACAGGTATACAGTACTGGGGATATAGATTCATAGAAAACCCAAGATGTATTTGAATTAGAAGACAGTAAACTGAACTCTCAATGTGTACATTATGAATACAGTACCATTATATCCCCACAGATTCTACTGCTATAAAGATCATCAGGTGCACAATGCTAAATAATGATAGTTACCAAAATGTTGGAAGTTGTCCAGTCATTTTTCACCAAGATGTATTTAAGACCGACTGGCTCACCGACCCATCGACAATATGACCGAACTCCCAACAGGCCAGTCCGTCACTGGGTGACGATGTGTCATAAACCCTGATTAGCTGTAATTAAACCTTTGTAATTACTTTTAGAATATTTTCATTATACACAAGTTGATTTAGTCACTTGTAGTTTTCATTTATAAATTGTACTTTTATGAGAATATTATCTCAGGCAAAATATTTTGTTTCAGGTACTGTGATGTCACATCTCAAGACCAGGTGTAACTAAGTAGAAGTTCACAATGTCAAGCAGAGATAAAAAGTTCTCCTGTGAGGAATGTGGCAAACAGTTTTGTTTAAAGTCTACTCTTCAGACACATTTACTTGTACACATTGGTATGAAGGAGTTTGAATGTGAGGAATGTGGGAAACATTTGTCATCTAAGAGTAATCTCAAGAGACACATTCTTGGACACAGTGGAATAAAGGAGTTTAAATGTGAGGAATGTGGGAAATATTTTTCTCGGAAGAGAACTCTCAAGATACACATTCTCGTACACAGTGGTATAAAAGAGTTTGAATGTGAGGAATGTGGGAAATGTTTCTCACGGAAGGGTCATCTCAAGACGCACATTCTTGGACACAGAGGTATAAAGGAGTTTAAATGTGAGGAATGTGGGAAAAATTTTTCTCAGAAGAGTCATCTCAAGACACACCTTCTTGGACACAGTGGTATAAAGGAGTTTAAATGTGAGGAATGTGGGAAACATTTTTCTCACAAGAGTCATCTCAAGACACACATTCTTGGACACAGTGGTATAAAGGAGTTTGAATGTGAGGAATGTGGGAAACATTTTTCTCAGAAGAGTACTCTCAAGACACATATTCTTGGACACCGTGGTTTAAAAGAGTTTGAATGTGAGGAATGTGGAAAATGTTTCTCCCAGAAGAGTACTCTCAAGACACACATTGTTGGACACAGTGGTATAAAAGAGTTTAAGTGTGAGGAATGTGGAAAATGTTTCTCCCAGAAGAGTAATCTCAAGACACACATTCTTGGCCACAGTGCTCTAAAAGAGTTTGATTGTAAAGAATGTGGGAAATGTTTCTCCCTGAAGAGTAATCTCAAGACACACATCCTTGGACACAGTGGTATAAAGGAGTTTGAATGTGAGGAATGTGGAAAATGTTTCTCCCATAAGAGTGTTCTCAAGAGACACATTCTTGGCCACAGTGGTAAAAAGGAGTTTAAATGTGAAGAATGTGGGAAATGTTTCTCCCGGAAGAGTACTCTCAAGGACCACATTCTTGGACACAGTGGTATAAAAGAGTTTGAATGTGTGGAATGTGGAAAATATTTCTCCCAGAAGAGTAATCTTAAAACACACATTCTTGCACACAGTGGTGTAAAGGAGTTTGAATGTGAGGAATGTGGAAAATGTTTCTCCCGGAAGAGTACTCTCAAGACACACATTCTTGTACACAGTGGTATAAAGGAGTTTGAATGTGAGGAATGTGGGAAATGTTTCTCCCAGAAGGGTCATCTCAAATGTCATAAACTTGTGCATGAAAAAACACAGAATTCAATAAATGTTTGAATGACTTTAAGAGAAGGTAAATGTGACACATAAACTTGAATACAGTAATGAACATCAATATAAAATAGCTTGAACAAACTCTATGAATGTAGCAGAAATAAAGAGGAGTGTCAAATGCCACTTTTATAGATATTAAATACAAGTTATAATTATCTGCTGTTATGAGGTAAATTTCTTCTACCATGGCCTTAGTGTAGACATTTGGTGTTGGTTAAATATCCCTCATAATAATACTCCATTTTGTTTCATCAGCCATTTTAATAAAGTTATTTACAGTATAGTAGTAAGCAAAAGTTAAACTTATTGTCTATGTACTTAAAATTTAATCTTCACTGGATAAGATCTGTTGAACATTGATGAACTCTCATTTACTATAATTTGTGCATCAATAGTTGTGTCTAGTGTGTACGTCTGTCTTTATTTACACGTCATGTAAGTTTTATACACAAGTACGTACATTAACACAGGTAGTAAATCATCTTGGTAAAGTAGGACAGTGGTGGTAGACTATTGTTATAATGAAGGTGTTGTCATTATCTCACAGAAACTCTTCAATCTCTGTTGAAATTGTACGTAAATATTTGATAAGTTTTGCTCAACTCTGACTAGATATTTTGATATTTTATCTTGACTAAAATGGTTGGTAGTTTTGATTCGTGTTCAAGTTTTAAATATATTCTTTCATCACTTAGAGATATATGGCACCATTGTCTGGTAAATAATGGTTAGGGTTCATATATAGTACCTGGTGTTATGGGGCAGATGAACTTTAACACCTCTTAACTGTATATAATATCATGTTTAATATACAAGTGCTCCCCGACTTACGACGGGGTTAGGGACCCAAATCCAGGTCGTAAGTCCAACATAGATTAAAAAAAAAAAAAAAAAAAAAAAAGTGAATTTAAAAAAAAAAAAAATCTATAATGAAATACAGTACACTAAAAGTAATAAATAATGAGGAATGGATACAGTGTGACTGAGCACTTACCTTAAATGTAGTCAGCTGAACGCACACAGGGCCCCCATAATTTTCTATTTACGTACAGGATACATGGAGACCATATTAATTGGATGAAGCAGAAGAGGAGTTAGGGCTGGGTGGGGCATCAATGTCACTTTCTTCAGACAGGTTTATGTGCTGTGGAAACTTGCTGGTTGAAGGTATTGGATCATCTTGAGGGAGTGAAGAGGCAGCACTGGTGGGGCATGAGGGGACAGGACTGGGGGACTTCTTGAAACAGATGTCCAATTTAGACTGCACAGTTTGCTTTTTCTTTTCATTATAAATCTCCCTGTAGCAAGCAAGTGCATCTTGGACCATTCTGTCAACTTTGGCATAACGCTCATAATTTTGATCCATGCCATCAAACATTTTCATTTCTTTATTAATTGTAGCAAATGCCTCTGCCATATGTTTCACTGAAAACTTTTTGGGGGGTGCAGGTTCTTCTTCTACATTTTGTCTCTCTTCTTCCTCTGCAATTTTCTGTGCATCTAGTTCAATAAGATGCTCGTTACTGAGCTCTTCTGCTACATTTTCAACCAACTGTCCAACATCTTCATTATCAATTTCTAACTCCAGCTGTTTACCTAACTCCACTATCTTGTTACTAATATCCGAAATAACTTCATTTTCATTAAAGCCTTTAGAACTGTTCACATATCTTTTCAGGATTTTCTTCCATATTCCATTCATGCAATGTTTTGTAACCTGATCCCATGCTGCACTAATGTTCTTTATACATGACAAAATGTTGTACTCCTTCCAAAACTCTGAGCGTTTTCTCACCTTCAGTAGCAGCAACAGCCTGAGCGAAGGTTGTGCGTAAATAATACTCTTTAAAGGCAGCAATAGCACCTTGATCCATGGGTTGGATGATAGAGGTAGTGTTAGGTGGAATGTACACTACCTTAACATCAGGGTGCATGTCGTCCAGGTGTGGTGGGTGTCCCGGAGCATTATCCAAAATCTGCAAAATCTTGAATGGAATCTGTTGTTGCAGACAATACTCCTTGGCTTGTGGAATGGAACAAGTCATGAACCAATCCTCAAACAGTACTAGGGTCATCCAGGCTCTCTTATTACTGCGATAAAACACTGGCAGTGTGTGCTTGCTGACATGTTTAAAAGCCCTGGGGTTCTCTGAATGATAGATCATGAAAGGCTTTACCTTGAAACCAGCAACATTCCCCCCCCCCCAACAGAAGTGTAATTCTGTCCTTGAATGCCTTGAATCCTGGCATTGTTTTCGCCTCTTTGTGGATGTATGTCCGCTCAGGCATGCGCTTCCACAATAATCCAGTCTCTTCCACATTGAATATTTGCTCAGGCAAATAATTCCCTTCCACAATCACTTCATCTAACTCCCTTGAAAGCTTTGGCAGCACCAACATCGGCACTAGCTGCCTCTCCACTCATCTTAACATTGTGTACTGTAGCGTTTTTTAAATCTATCAAACCACCCATGACTTCCTGTAAAGGTTTTATCACATTCATATCCTGCCTGCTCCTTCAGGCTTTGGAACAGGCTTCTTGCTTTAGCCTGTATGGTTAGAAGACTTAAGGGTACACGCTTCTGTATCTGGTCTTCTATCCATATCACCAATAATTTTTCCATATCGTGAATAGGACTTTGTTTTTTCTTTGATATTATAGTTCCCTTTATAGGTGTTGTTCCTTTCACTACATCACGAATACGTTCCTTGTCCTTCAGAATAGTGGATATAGTCGAGTGTGAGAAACCTAGGTCGCTTGAGATTGTTGCTGCTGTTTTTCCATTCTCATGCTGTGTTATTATCTTCATTTTCATCTCAAAAGTAATTGCCTGTATCCTTTTCTTTGGAACACCACCAGCACTCTCACTTTTACTCTTTCCAGTCATTATAAAGTCAATTAAATACGATAATAACGAAAGTTCACAGCACGATCAGTATAGGATACGATAGCCAAACACAAACTCCACTGAGTGAGTGTACCCATGAGGCGACCCGAGGCGCGCCACCCTCTCGCCTGGGACGGAAACATTTTGGTATAGAAAATGCGCGCGTCATTTCAAAATATTTTTGGTCACGACTGCCGCGGTCGTATGTCCCGACGGACGTAAGGTCAGAGCAGGTCGTAAGTACCAATGGACGTAAGTCCATGCGGTCGTAAGTCGGGGACTAGCTGTATTGCTCAGTAAGCATCTTGTACCTTAGTTAGGTAACTCTTGGTTATATATAAATTCATACTTGGGCAGTCATTTTCTTAAACTAGCCAATGCCGAAATGTCAAACTCTGTGTTAAAATTTGTTTTTTTTATCATGTCAAGCAGAAGACTTGTTTAAATTAACATACAGTATTTAGATATTTGCTGTTCTTATATACAACTTCTCCTAATACAGTACTGGCATGCTACAAGAATGGCATTAATGATGTGTACATGAATATAGAGTTTTATGTGAATACTATGTACTGCATACATACATTAGTACAGGTACCTATAATCTCTTGTGACTCTTATTACAGCTGCATATCGTTCACACTCACCGCACTAAGGGAGTATCTAAGTTTTCTATTGGGTACTGTCACAGAAAACCGTTAACACTCTGAAGAGGTAATTTGTATGTTGTATTATACCAGTGTCTGTGTATATAATGTTAAGTGTGTGTACTGATAGTATTAAGGGAGAACTTAAGGTGCTGTTGTATTATACCAGTTTCTGTGTATATAATGTTAAATGTGTGTACTGATAGTATTAAGGGAGAACTTAAGGTACTGTTGTATGTTGTATTATACCAGTGTCCGTGTATATAATATTAAGTGTGTGTACTGATAGTATTAAGGGAAAACTCAAGGTACCTATATGATGGATGAGAAAGCCCAATTGGTACATACTAGTGTAATACCTGTATTGTGCATAAGTGTGTCCGTGTGTGAGGGTTATGGTATTTACGTCTGTGTACGATTAGTAAACATAGTTACCTCAGGTGTCAGATGAAAATATGTGAGAACAATGATCTGGGAAAAGGACAAATGTATCAGACATATGTGAAGTGTTGGGGTTGACCCATAAATTATACTCCAAGGAAAATATCTTGTGTACCTCGGTGTGAGCTTAATACACATCGTTACCCCACGTGACGAATAGCCACGGACAGTGCAGTGATTCAATAATCTTATGAACGTGGTAAACAATTGCAAAGTGTGGGGGATGACCCATACATTGGGAATAATGTAAAGTGATGTGGATATACCCAAGCCCAGAACCAAGGCCCTTGTGTGTGCTGGCACCTGAGGGCCACAGTTTCCAGGTAATGAGATATTTAAAGAAATTTACCTAAACCTGACAAACCAGACACTTATTGTAGTATGTAATTATAAGGCGTAAAGTCATAATATAATATATGTAAGTGTATGTGTGGGGGCCAGTATAAAGACATGGTTATTTGTAAACATTGGCACCAGTAGGCCTACGTCCACGGAGGCTCTCACTCTGTATCTCCGGGAATCTTACAGGGACAGGTGTACATGCCTGTGTGTGAGCGGTGAGGACCATGGAGAGAGACAAGTTAGGTCGGAGGGAATGCCCGGCCTAGTGACCACTGTGGTACTTTGAGGAGCCCACTTGGTGTTGTGGGTAATGCCCAGGACCACTGTACAACCTCCCCTAAGGATCTCTGGATAACTCACACTTTCATTACCCTGGGTGTGGAGATGTGTTGGAGCTACTTTGAGGTGCTCACTGTTGCTACTTTAAGCGACCTAATGCTGCAGTCCTGATATGAATGTCTGTGAAGGATCTCATCTTCTAACAAGAGTAGAAGGTAAGATGGGTGTACCTTGGTGCTAATAATAAGCTGTATGTATTGTTACTCTATTCAGGTGCTATTGGGTGTTCGGTGAAGGAGTATCCTAGGTGAGGAGGTCACTTATTTTGTATGGAGAAGAAGAGACCTTAATTTATGGGAGAAGGTCAGTTATTTTTGTGTGGTGCAGTGACCTTAGTTGCTTTGTGAAGGTCACCTATTTTTGTATTGTGACAGAGTGCAATATTTTTAATATGTCTAAAATAAATTAGTTAAGACTACTGGTTGGTGTTTCATCCTTTCTTCCACCCTTAACTTTGATTTATGAAAAACACAAACTCACACTGCTAGACTAAACTCACATTGTTAGATTAAACTCACACTGTTAGACTAAAATCACACTGCTAGACTAAACTCATACTAGTAGACAAAGCTCACACTGCGAGACTAAACTCACACTGCTAGACTTCTTTGCCAGCTCCCCAAAGAACAACTACACATACTGTCCTGTGGTCTGGTGGCAGTGACCCTAAGTTAAGAAGTAAACCCTAGTATCAAGTGACCAATTAAAGGGCAGTACCAGGTTGACAACCCCTTATCCAAAATTCTGAAAACTGAAAGATTTTTGTGGAGCAAAACTTTATTATTTTTTTTCCAACAGGGATTAGCCCACCCAGGCACAGGTCACTGACCCACTTTGTTGCCTGGGGGCGAAAATGTAATAATAACTATAATAATAATACAGTGATACCTCAGTTAATGAAACTTCGGTTCACGAATTACCTTCCATAAGAATCTTCAACTCGGTTAACGAACAGAAATTCGGTTAATGAAATCTTTACGAAATCGTGTCAACATGTTT